TAAATTGTAGTGTTACCATGCAGTAATGGCTAATGTTTGTCAGCCCTGTTATTGTGCATTTGCCTAAATTGTTAATACATTGTGTGGTTGAATAGAATGGTAAATGTAGTCCATATCACCTGTATTGCTAGAGGTTAGCTGAGATTGGAGCTCCACCCTGTGATGCTGACAGAGATAGGAGGGTTTGCAGACTAACTGAGCTACAAAAGATGTCAAACTGGTTTTGTGGCTTTCAGCTGATGATGCAGTTAAATTTTGAGAAAAGACAGGATTTTGGTGAAGAGTTACAGCAAGGCTCCATTCGTATAGTGGTTAGTACCAAGACTGGATACAGTTGAGACCTGGGTTCGAATCCCAGATGGAGTGTTTTTTTTTTTTTATTGTCCAATACGGATAGGATTCAAATCCTATATTTATATTGGCAACTGCAGCACTCTGCCATTACAGTGATTTTTATAGGGAAGAGCTGAACCCAATGCTTCTCTATGAGAGGAATTTGCTGCATCTGATGTCATCATGCTTCAAGCGATGAGGCCAAATGAGAAGACCTTTGATTTTCAGGTGCTGGGGGAGAAAAACACACAGATGGGCTGGGAAGGGGAGAACGAGACACACAAAAGGGGCTGGAGGAAGAAAGAGTCATAATATAAGTGTCTCCCCACAAGCCTCTGTTTTGCCCCTTCCCTAGCCATTTGTCTATTTTGCCCCTTCCCCAGGCCCTCAGTATTGTCCTCCTAGCTCTTGTCTTTCTCTGCCCCTTCCCCTGCCCCTCTGTGTCTCTTTCCCTCCCAGCCCTTTGTTTGTGTTTTTTTCTCCCCTTCACAGCCATTCAGTGTGTCTCTTCTCACACAACCCCTCAGTGTCTCTTTGTCTCGCCCACCCAGCCCGTTTGTCTTATTTTCCATCTATGCAGTCTGTATGCCTTTTTCTCCTCCCAGCCCATTGTATGTGTCTCTTTTTTCCCCTTCTTAGCCCCTCAGTGTGTCTCCTCCCCCCAGCACTTTATCCTGTTCGTTCTCTCTGTAGCTCCTCTGTTTCTCTTTGATGTCGTTCCCCACTCATGTCTGTCTCTTTTGTCCTTTCCACTGCTTCTCTGTGTCTTTTGGTCCACCAGCCCATTTTGTATAAATATTTTCTCTTCCCTTCCTCACCCTCTCTATGTCTCTTTCCCCCCATACCTCTGTATGTCTTTCTCCCCACAGCCCCTTGTGTGTTTCTTTCTCCCTTTCTCAGCCCCTTGTGTCCTTTTCTCACCCAGGACCTAGTCTCTTCCTCTCCCCTTCCCCCTCTGTTTTTCTTTGTCCTAGTACCCCATCCATGTCTATCTCCTTTTATTACTTCCCCTGCCCCTGTGTGTCTTTTTGACTCCCAGCCTCTTTGTGTATCTTTCTCCCCCCAACCACTCTGTGTGCGTCTTCCCCCCCCAAACCTTGGTCTCTGACTTACGCAGCCCCACTGTGTCTGTCTGTCTCCCCCCCTTAAGCCCCTCTGAATGTCTCTTCCTGTCTCTTTTGCCGTTTCTCTAGCCCATCTGTCCTATTTGCCCCATTACCCAGCTCCTCTCTGTTGTCTCCCATTCTCTGTCTGTCTCTGCCCCTTCCATTGCCCTTCTGTGTCTCTTTCCCCCCAAGGCTTTCTCTCCTGTGTGTCGCTTTCTATACTTTACAGCCATACAGCCCCTCATGTACAAGTTTTACGATGTTTTGGAAAGTTACAGGGTTAAACATAGGACTTGCATATTAAATTCTCTGGATTTGCTGCCTGGGTTTTAAATAAAATTACTTAATTATGTAAAAAGATTTCATAAATATACAAATAGAAGTTAAGGTAACACTATACGGTCAGGAACACAAAAATGTATTCCTGACCCTATAGTGTTAAAACTACAATCTAGCCCCCATGCCTCCCTAAATATAGTAAAATCTTACTTCTATTCAAGTCTGAAGCTGCTGACTCTGCCCCTGAACTGCCTCTGTCTGCTGACATCATCAGAAGTGGTGGTCTGAGCCAATCACAATGCTTCCCCATAGGATTGGCTGAGACTGTCAAGAAGGCAGATCAGGGGCAGAGCCAGCACAGGTCAAACACAGTCCTGGCCAATCACCATCTCATCATAGAGATGAATTGAATGAATGCATCTCAATGAGGAAAGTTCAGTGTCTGCATGCAGTGCTGCTTACTCTGCAGCACTGCCCAAGGAAGCAGCTTTATCAGCCATCTGAGGAGTGGCCAGTGGAGGTATGCCTAGACTGTAATGTAAACATTGTATTTTCTCTAAAAAGACAGTGTTTACAACAAAAACCCTGAAGGGAATGATTCTACTCACCAGAACAAATACAATCAACTGTAGTTGTTTTGGTGACTATAGTGTCCCTTTAAATAGGCCCAGACGATCTGCTGAAGACTTATGTCTATCTTCTGTCCGTACTCCCACCTCTGATGCCCGCCTTCAAGATTTCTCAGATTTCTCGAGGGCTGCACCGTTCCTGTGGAACTCGCTTTCCTCCTCCGTTACATGCTCACCCAGTCTCCACTCCTTCGTTAAAAACCCACTTAACCCACATCGTTAAAAACCCACTTCCTCATAAAAGCGTATCAATTAAACTGTTAATAGCTCCTGACTGATTCCTCTTCTGCAACTGTCCCTAGTCTAATACTATCCTTACCTTTTTGTGTCATTTTACCCCACTCCCTCTAGCATGTAAGCTCATTGAGCAGGGCCCTCAACCCCTCTGTTCCTGTGTGTCCAATTTGTCTGGTTATAACTACATGTCTGTTTGTCCACCCATTGTAAAGCGCTGCGGAATTTGATGGCGCTATATAAATACCATAATAATACTATATATTTAATATATATATGTATTTAAATCCTACATGTATATTTATGCAAATATATTTAAAATATTGTATAGTAATATATAAATATATTAATATCAAAATACATTTTGAATGATATTACATACCGTATATACTCGAGTATAAGCAGACACGAATATAAGCCAACGCACTTAATTTTACCACAAAAAACTGGGAAAACTTATTGACTTGAGTATAAGCCTAGAGTGGGAAATGCAGCAGATGAGCGGGAGAGACTGGAGAAAAGGTAAGTGGGACGACACATACATACAGACAGGCACACATACATACAGACGCGACACACATACATACAAAGACACATACAGACAGACAGACACACACAAGACATACATACAAAGACACATACAAACAGACAGGCGCACATACAGACACACACACAGACAAGACATACATACAAAGACACATACAGACAGGTATCCATACATATTACAGACAGATAGACCCACACATGCATACAAACAAACACACACAATATTTAAGTCACCCTCCTATTGCCTACCTTTTAGGTGAAGGAGGGTGACTCAGGTTGATGGAAGTCTGACTCCCTGTTCTTCCTCCCGGCGGGCTCAGTGATAGCTGGGAGGAGTGACATGCAGTCACTTCCTCCCAGCAGTTATAATCTCAGCACAGGGGGCCCGGTTGCGCTGTTAAAGTGCCCAGTGCTGACCGGGCCTCCTGACTATACATGTCCATCGGGTGGCCCATGCTGTCAGGGCCACCTGATGGATCCCTTGGACGGCGGCCACGGCTGTTTGCCGCGCGGGCCGGGGCCGCAAATGATGTTGGTGGCGGGTACCCGCGGTATGTAGTGATGATGGCGGCGGGTACCCTCACTCGAGTATAAGACGAGGGGGGCTTTTTCAGTACAAAAAATGTGCTGAAAAAGTCAGCTTATAATCGAGTATATACGGTATGTGTATATATATATAATTTTTTGATTAATGTATTTTAACTGTATTAAAATATATAAAAAAATATGTAACTCCATAATAAGTGTATTTTGATATTGAGATGTATATGTATATATAAGAAAGTCTGTACTCTCTACCTTTAAGAATCTGAAAGCACTCTACCTTTAAGAATCTGATTAAATAGACCCCAGTGCTGCACAGCGTGGATAGATATACAAGAGAGCACTCCAGAGGCTTTGTTCAATAAATTTTATATATGATTCAAAGTGATCAACGTTTCGACCCAAGAGGTCTTTGTCAAGATGTGAATACAAGAAAATATGAAGCGTGCGTTTGAATAAAAGTGAAATCACAGTAAAATCAGCGAGGAGGATAAACGAAAAGGTGTACTAATGGTACCAGGCTGCTAAATTTTACAGTAGAGTGATGAGCATTTTTAAATTTTTCTCACTTATTTATTTTTTTCATTTTTTAATTCTTTTAATATATTTTATATTTTATATTGTTTATTTATGTTTCTACACCCTGTTCCAAATTATGCAAATTATATTTTTCTTATTTACCTAAATAATTGATGTAAATAACAGTCAGCATAATTCTCATGTTATCAACTATTACAATTTGAGTACAATTCAAATTTTATTGAACAAACCTTCTAATGATAACAGTATTTTTTTTAAACATAAAAAACTTACAATGTACTGTTCCAAATTATTACGCACAGTAAGTTTCAAAACACTTTATAGGTTGTAAATTGTCATTTGTTGTGTTTGCAGCACATTTACTGAAATCAAAAGTGATTTCAATCAAATTTATTAGAACATTTTAACTTTTAAAACATTTTAACAGGTCATGTTACATCTTAACATAGGACCGATTATTTGATAGCAGCTTCACAAGTCTTGCATCCATTGAACTTTGATCCATTGAGTTTTTGGACAGTTTCTGCTTGAATTTGTTTGCAAGATGTCAGAATAGTCTCCCAGAGCTGCTGTTTGGATGTAAACTGCCTCCCACCCTCATAGATCTTTTGCTTGTGGATGCTCCACAGGTTCTCAATAGGATTGAGGTCAGGGGAGGATGGAGGCCACACCATGACTTTCTCTCCTTTTATCCCTATAGCAGCAATTCTTCTGCTGTACTGGTGCCCTCCCAGCTTAAGTAGTCAGTACATTTAAGAACTTTAAAAAAAAAATAAAAAAAATCTTTATTCTTGGTCGTGCATAAAAATACATTACATTGCTCAACAGCAATCGCAAGAATGTGTGTAACACATAATGAAACACAGCATGAAGTTGTAAAGATTTAGCGAGAACATTATGCTTCAATTCGAGGAAACAGCACAAAATGTTATGTTAATCTTATATAGACATCAGGCTTAAGGATACAGTCAAGCTGAGTGGAACATGTGAGCAGGTGCTTACAAGGTAGTGGTATTAGCACATGTCAGGGTTGGACAGTATCCATTTTTATAGAAGTAAAGGCAGTTAGGCTAAGTACATGAGTAGTCAACTTTAACTTAGTGTTGAGGGAAAACATGCTAAAGTGAAAATAAACTATTCAGGCTAAACCCCACACTTAGGCACAACAAAACGGAGGGGTTCACCAGGCATATACAACACAGTGATAACATGTGCTCAAGACACGGTGAAGCCTCTGAATGATAGGTGTGTGCAGAGACAGTGTGTGGCACTCTATTGTAAGTCAACAGTAGGTTATTCTATAGGTGAAGGTGCTTAAAGGGACACTATAGTCACCAGAACAACTACAGCTTAACGCAGTTGTTCTGGTGAGTATAATAGCTCCCTTCAGACATTTTTATACAAACACTGCCTTTTCAGAGAAAAGGCAGTGTTTGCATTGGCTCTAGGGACACCTCCAAGTGGCCACTCCTTAGATGGCCACTGGAGGAGCTTCCGGGCTCAGGGCTGCACAGTAAGTGCTCTGGCTGGGGATGCTGAATTTTCCTCATAGAGATGCATTAATTCAATGATTTGATTTCACCCCTTTGTTGATTTTGGCTAAAAATCTGCAATTTTGATGTCACCAAGGGGGCAGGATCAGTGCTGGCAGACTCATGGAGAGCGAGTTTTAACCCATTCTGAGGTGGGGGAGGTCACAAGCCACCTAAATGGTGGGTTTTCACTATAAGGTCAGGAATACATGTTTGTATTCCTGACCCAATAGTGATCCTTTAAGGCGTTAAGCTGATAAATTAGTGGCGGATCTGAGAGTGAGTAAATTTAGACCACTGGAGCCATATTGGGTTGTAGGTGACCTCGAGGCTAGCATAGAAGCCTTAATGACGTTAGCCATGAGCTTATCCAGGGGGATATTATGGTGGCAGAGTATTATCACATTGTTAACAAAAGAAAGTAAAATAAAAGGACAAACCATAACAGTCATAGTAGATTATATGCGCAGTTGGTTCTGGATCTCAGCCTTTGGATGCCATGTCTGTCCGTGTTCGCTTGGCTTTCAGCCTATTCCCTGGAGGGCCTGTGGTAGACCATGCCATTGCAGGAATGGTGTCTCCACTTTCACCCACCCCTCCAGTGTTTAGGTCCATGAGGGCCATGGGTGAGTGCATGGTGCCAGGGTGTGAGTCTGCGGGACCTGCGCAGCCGAGTTTGTTTTCCTGACATTATAGTGATCCTTTAACTTACATGTGAAACCCAATTTACAAGATATGCAGGTCTTCGCATTTACAAGCAAATCAAACTCAATCTCATTAGACCAGCAGCTTTCTGATTTTATGAAATACATCTTTTAGCAACTGGTTTTCTGAGTCAGAGCAATTATTCATCAAACAATTAGAATGGATTTTATTTAATTCATCAGTAGAAAATACATTAATATAACAAAAGTTATCTCCCCCTCCCCCCCATCCATAAAAGTGCTTGAAGTTAGCTGGTCTACATCATTGGAAAAAAATGAAGTCCTCCAGGGGTATTCATGGTGTTAAAAAGTGACAGCACAACCAGACTGTGCTTTCATTGCCCGGCATCCACAGAACGATGACTAATGTTTACAGACTGCTCACAGAACCTGTCGTACTGACTACAGAACATTAGAGTGTGTGACACTGAAGTCTTTAATGACACACATGCAGTTCCTGCATTAATACTGGATATTATTCATCGCTAATTCTGTGAGAAGGCCAAGAACTCTGACCAGATGTTCTTTAGAGAGGAACTGCAGAGACAAGAAAACAAAATGACATTGAGTTCAAGACAGGTGTAATATTATGACATGAAATAGAAGAAAAATAAATTATAAAAATAACCAAGTTAGCAATGATTTTATGCGGTCTTAGAGTTCTAATAAAATTGGTTGCATTTTTGCTGTCTAATGTTGACATGTGACATGTTTCTTGGATTGTAATGCTCCTGTGGAAGTTGTCATAATGGAGATATACATTTGTCAACATTGCCATATGCATACTACCAGGTCATGACAACACAATCAATGCATGTGAAGCACTCACCTTTATTTTCCCATCGCAATGTGCTGAAGCTACGGATGTTGACACCTTTACAAGTTGTGTTGCAGACAAGTGAATTTTGAAATGTCTAAAAAAGTGGCTATAAAGGCCATGGAATAAAATATCCACCTCCTCAGCTGTTACTTCATCTTGACCTTTGTTTATGTCACTCCAAAGGGATTTGAAATCTTCTGGGTGGATGGCATAAGAAATGTCCATGTGTGGTTC